GAGTTTCTGATGGTTAAATTAATCTACTTCATTGTGTTAACTCACTTTTTCCAGTTCAATCAACTTAAAATTTTAAGGCAACCCAGGTTACTTACTTTTTTAAGTTAAACCAACAAAACATTTTTACAGTGTAGTAATCACAACATTTTTTCTTTTGTCAAATCAACTTAAATAATTTATTTAGTTCAGATAACATGTAATTTTGAGTTTATGATGGTTAAATTAATCTCCTTCATTGTATTAACTCACTTTTTCCAGTTCAATGAACTTAAAATTTTAAGGCAACCAGGTTACTTTCTTTTTTAAGTTAAACCAACAATATTTTTTTTACAGTGATGAGTCAACTCAATCTGTACAATAAAAATAAAAATAAAAATAAATCATAAATCATAAAAACGATGTAAATGTTATTTATTTATTTATTTGATTGATTGAATAGGTGAAAATTACCATTGGTAAACTAGAATAAAATTCTAAAAAAGATAAGCTTTAAAAACTACTAAAGCAAACTTCTGTTCATTTAATTATAAAGATATGGCAAGCGGAGGAAGACTAAAGTCATAAACTATTTTCCAAAAGCACTGTTGGTGCTCAGATAATACAATGAAATAATGTCCGTTGGTTGTACATTTTCCACAGATCTCTAAAATATGTGCACTGTATTTATTAAACATTTGCATGCATATTTTCAAACGTGCCCGGTTTGAAATACCATTGCTTACCTGTCTATTAACCACATGTACTGTAACATGCCAAGTTGCATGAGCTGTGAATGAAGTTACGGTGGTCTGTTCCTCGCACAAAGCATATGGCTTCTATGTTTTGTTCTTTTTTGTTTTTGGAGCTTGACAGCTCCAGCAAATGTATTTTGGCATTGCATGAAAATAATTGCTTGAAATGTCTAGTTTTGTGTTCCATGGAAGAAAGGAAGTCATACAGTTTGGAACGAAATGAAGGTGAGTAGAAGAAAATAACTGTAATTGCATACATTGTTGAAGGTTGATGTTACACATTTTCTAAATGTTCTTACTCTCAGGTTTCATGCTATTCCTAGCCTTTTTTTTTATCATTTAGGGTGTTTATGGGACAGTGCAGTGGAGAGTGCCAAAGAACAATTTGGAAAAAAGAAGGAAACGTGAGTAGGAATTGGTAGCATGTGCATTAACACAGGCCCTGTTTACACGAGAACGATCGCGGGTGAAAACGTTAAAACATTTTATCGGATGTGCCTTTCGTTTACACGGCGACGGCGTTTTTGGGGGTTAAAAAACCCCAAAAAAGTAAAAACCACCCTCCAGAGTGGAAATCTTAAAAACGCTCCACCGTCGCGTTCCCGTGTAAAGTGTAAAAATGCAAAAGTCTGCTTGACAGTGAAGGTTGTACGCAGGAGCGCAGACTTGGTGTCGTTGTGTGGCAGTGCTTCACATCGCCACCTAGCTGCCTGGAGTGCACACTGCATCGAATTTCACACACTTTTGCGTCACCATGTGCACGGGGATTTCCCATCCATAACGCTCGTCTAAACGAAGAATAAAAAGTGACAACCCAACACTACTTTTGCGTTTTCTCTTTAGATTGTTTCCGTGTAAACATGGCCTTAGTCCTACTAAGACAAATCACAAAACACACATAAGGGGTTGTATTACGCAACAATTTTATGGAATAAAATGGTTGTTTTTCACTTTATTTTAAGAGTAAAGCTGCCCATAGACTAAATGACTTTTAAAGTACTCTTATGGATTATTCACACCTAATAACGCCGATGTCAGTTCTACTCAAAACACATTTCACACTGCAGGACTTGGATCGTAGATATTTAACCTGCTAAATATCTCTTGGGTGGAGGCGCTTCTCTCAGATCGCGTCTTTGAAAACTCACACCCTATTTATTGTAAATAAAACAAAGATTACTGTATATTTTTGAAAAAATAAATAAATTATATATATATATATATATATATATATATATATATATATTTCAGATTTCTATTTAAAAATTCTATATTTAATTCAACGTTTTCAGTGTACCAATTGTCACTCATGCAAACAATTTGTCAGTTAACTCCCCTAATTGTCGGTGAGTGGAAAATCAGGGTTAAAATTGTTTATTGCATGAACAGCATGAATAAATGCAGGTCTAAATATAATTGGAGAGGGTATTATTTCCATTCATTAGTTAGTCATTTCACTCGCTGGATTAACTTGACCTCAAAGCAGAGGCTCCACCTTTTCAACATTTATTTTGTACTTCAATGAAGCAGAACAATGAAAAGGGGGATATACTCTAAACCTTTTTGAACCTCAAGGTCCCCCATTGTCCACAAAAATATCTGAAGGCTTGATTTTTACTTGTTTTAGCTTCCTTTTTTCTTCTATTATTTTACATAATTTTGAGTAAACCTTGAGGCCCTCTTGGAAGTTTGTTGAGGACCCGTAATATGGTCTCTTGGTTGAGAACCACTGCTCTAAAGGCCCTGATGATATACTTTCAAGAAAAGCCAAAGAATTCACTCATGTGATGTCATTTTGAACAAGATCAGCCCAAAATGAATGTTTTGGTAATTCTAAACTTGAATTTTTGATAAACGCCTTTCAACTACCATTGGTTCATTGGTTCCTTCTTTGAGGTGGAAATCTTCTCCAGTTAATTTCTTCTGTTCAGGGGTTGTGTTTCCCATACAACGACGTAACTTGTTGCTTCACTACCACAGTATGATGCATCGTTGAAGAAATCAACTAGCTAGTTGCGACCGTTTCCCAAAACCAATTCGCAAATTGGTTATTTAACCACGTTGGTTAATGATGTCACGCAGGTGGAGGAGTGATAACTCTTAATGAATCTGTTTGAGATCGAATCAATGCTAGATGTTTTGCTATAAATTACGGACATCACATCTGAGGACTATTTCTCATTTATCTCAGATATTTTGCTTCATTTCCAGGTTCAATCACAGGCTGGTTCTTACATACTAGTGTACGTTTGCACATGCGCACGCATCAGAATAAACCTCTTGACAAACTCAAAGACATAAATGACAATGTATGTATTATAAACAAAAGATATAGATTGTACTGAATGTCAGCTTGCTTATTTGGCTCAAGATAAGGATTTATTGAGTCCACATGTCATGCAATCTAGAAAGTCTTCTTCTAACCATGGGTCGAGATCTGTCATTCCAAACACACAACTTTGCGATACTATTTGCTAATGTTCGTTAGAATGATGGTTTCAGGAAACATAATTTAGTTGGAATTAGCGACAGACAGCAAGCTTTCGGGAAACACACCCCAGTTCAGTCAAAGTCAAATGCAAGAAAAAAAACACACTGGAGAGCTGCTTTATAGTAGAAGTTGAAACTCTAATTGAAAGCAATCTGTTGTATAAAGTGCCATACAAATGAACGCAACATGACTTGACCGGAGAGCCGAATTGCAGAGCTGGTGCTAACATGTTCACTTCGCTATGATCAGACGCTTTCTTAACTGCTGTTTTCAAATTTTGTGGCATTTATTTTATTTTTGAAACGAAAGCACACAACACACACATCACATATGCATCTAAAAGCCACTCTCAGTAAGCTGCCGCTCAGGTATTTTGAACTTCTTTTTACTCCCAAGCAAAAACCAATACTTTGCCTTAACCCCCTGAGGACCAAAAACGTGTCCCCGGGTTTTTGTTTTTTTTTTTTCACATGGCTGCAACGTAGACTTAAAATAATCTGTTATTAATGGTCATATAAATAAAATCAATACATGATTATGAACTATAGAGGGTCTTCTTTTTTTGAGTACACTCTTATTAACATCAAAACCTTGTGTTTATGTGAAATAAATAAAATAAACAGTGCGCTTTGAGCTCACTCTGTCTCCGCAAAATCTTTCTGAAACGCGTCCGAAAAATGAACTGTAACCCAGTAAATACTTGACACAGAGACACGAAAGATTTCTCTTTATGAAGCTGAAATTCTCTTCTTTTAAAGCTACACTGTGTAACTTTTTTAGTTTATTCTTAGCTAAAAACGCTTAGTTCTTTCAAAAAAATATGTGCTCATTAATGTATATTTACTTCATTCAAGTAATAAAGTATTCTTGTGAGTGTATATGCCACTGAAAATACATACGGGTAAGGGGTTCCCCTCCATCTTGAAAGTACATTAGCCAAAGAGGGACATACCCGTTAATTCAAGCTTCGCCTTTTGCGTTTACGTTTGAGTTAACACTCATGGACGAGGTCGAACTGGAAGCCATGTTAATCTTGGACTACATTGGCCAAAACGAAATCGGAATTGAGAGGAACAGAAACTAATATTCACTGGATGGTCATATACCTTAGATAGGGGTAAAAATCACACAGAGTAGCTTAAAATATAGTAATTTATATAAAAAAGCAACTATTCTCAGTTGATGTAATCTGTATGAAAACAGAGATGTCAGTCTTTTTCCTTTCACCTAATTATAGCGTATGACGTGTTAATGTGACCCCGCCCACTGAGAGCGAAACACTATTCAAACGCTAATGTTGAGGCAAGCCATGAAAACGCCCACATCAGCTGGAAACAAAACATCCAGTTTATCACAAATCTAACCTTTACCTTTGTTGCTGTCTTTGTTGCAAACCTGTAAGAGGTTCTTTCTTCTGCTGAACACAAAGGAAGATATTTTGAAGAGCGATTGGAACATTGACACCATTGACTTCCATAGTATTATTATTTTTTTTCGACAATGGAAGTCAATGGTGCCACGATTGGAACCAAACGGTTGTTTGGCACCATTGACTTCCATAGTAGAAAAAATAACACTATGGAAGTCAATGGTGCCATAGTTCCAATTGGTCTTCAAAATATCTTCCTTTGTGTTCAGCAGAAGAAAGAAACTCATGCAGGTTTGCAACAACTTGAGGGTGATTAAATGATGACATAGCCTACTTTTCATTTTTGGGTGTAGTATCCCTTTAAGACAATTAGTTCCAGTACTGGTTGTGTTTTGTAATATGAGATTACCTTTCAGGTAGTAAGGCTTCTTTAGGCCATCGTGGTGCAGACGTGCCTTCCGCTCCTCGGCACAGCTGTGCCTCAAACCGTCCTCATGCAAACGCAGTCTATCTCTCCTGACTGCTTCTGACGACATCTTGTCCCGCAAAGCTTTAGCCCGCTCCGTTTCCAGCGCTATGGCCTTCTCCAGCAGTGACAGGTTGCCCTTGGTCATGTCGAAAACGTCCTCGGAGCGGTCGGATGTGACAGAGGTGGTGTCTTCATCGCAGTCCTGGAAGCACTTGTGCTCTGCGGCACAGCTGGAGAAAGCCTTGGATCGAGGGCTGAGCTGCTCCTCAAGCTTCATCAGGTTGACCATGTCGGAGTAGTTTCGCTCAAGGACACGGCACTCCTCATGAGTCTGATGATGCTGCTGTTGTTGAGCCTCTTGATAAAGATGATGAGCCTGCTGGTAGGGATGCAGAACATTACCAGGTTAACCGTTAACTGACAGAAAACATTTGGACTGACTAATGCCTCTGCTGAAAAATGTACCAGCATAAGGTATGTTTTGTATACTGGGACCAGCACAGTATGCTAGTTACAGCTGGTTTGGTAGAGCAGCCTTTTTTGTTTGTTTGTTGTGATGTCTGTGATTGTGTAATGAAATGTTGATAATTTAACATGTTATGTGTTGTCTGTGTTATGTACGCATCTACGGTGGGAACAAATTTCCTCTCAAAACTCAAGGAAAAATAAACAATCCATCCATTCACCCAACCCATCCATCCATCTACCCACCCACTCACTCACTAACTCACCCATCCATCCACCCACTCACCCACCCACCCATCCATCCATCCATCCATCCATCCATCCACCCACCCACCCACTCACTCAGTAACTCACTAACTCACCCATCCACCCACTCACCCACCCACCCACCCACCCATCCATCCATCCATTCATTCATCCATCCACCCACCCACCCACACACCCATCCATCCATCCTTCCAACCATCCATCCATCCATCCACCCACTCACCCACCCACCCACCCACCCACCCACTCACTCAGTCACTCACCCATCCATCCATCCATGCACCCACTCACTCACTTACCCACCCATCCACCCACCTACTCAGTCACTCACTCACTCACCTATCCATCCAACCATCCATCCATCCATCCATCCACCCACTCACTCACTCACCCACCCATCCATCCATCCATCCATCCACCCACCCACTCACTCAGTAACTCACTAACTCACCCATCCACCCACTCACCCACCCACCCATCCATCCATTCATTCATCCATCCACCCACCCACCCACACACCCATCCATCCATCCTTCCAACCATCCATCCATCCATCCACCCACTCACCCACCCACCCACCCACTCACTCAGTCACTCACCCATCCATCCATCCATGCACCCACTCACTCACTTACCCACCCATCCACCCACCTACTCAGTCACTCACTCACTCACCTATCCATCCAACCATCCATCCATCCATCCATCCACCCACTCACCCACCCATCCATCCATCCATCCATCCATTCACCAACTCACTCACCCATCCATGCACCCACTCACTCACTTACCCACCCATCCACCCACCCACTCACTGACTCACCCATCCATCCATCCATCCACCCACCCATCCACCCACTCACTCACCCACCCAACCATCCATTCACCCACTCACTCACTCACCCACCCACCCATCCATCCATCCATCCACCCATCCATCCACCTATTCACCCACCCACCTACCCATGCATCCACCCACCCATCCATCCATCCATCCACCCACTCACTCACTCACTCACCCACCCATCCATCCATCCATCCATCCACTCCCTCACTCACTCACTCACTCACTCACTCACTCACTCACTCACTCACTCACTCACTCACTCACCTACCCACCCATCCATCCATCAATCCAATCCATTGGTTATGGAAAAAACTCTAAATGAACACGCATACCTGCTGGTTATTGTTGAGCCGCTCGGATGGCTTGGTCTCGCTTAGCTTGCGCGCCAAGTCAAAGCACTGGTTGCGAAGACACTCCAAACTGCTCAGACAAACTTCCTCGTCACTCTTCTCCCCCATCTGACCAGTGATGCTGGCTCTGCCGTTGATGTTCTCGCCGCCGTCGTCCTGGTACGGCTCCTCGTGGAGGTTTTCTGAGAGCGTGACCCCGTGACCCTGAGCCAGGAGCTTTAGAGAGTCCACAGTCTCTCTTACCACATCACTGTTCACATCCAGACTCAGCTCACCTTTCCTTGAGCCCTCCTCATCTTCATCATCTTCGTCGTCCTCTTCGTCTTCGTCCTCCTCCTCTTCCTCTTCTGCACTGTTTGAGGAGTTGCTGTTCATCTCGGACTCGGTCATGGCCCGATAAGCAGCGTCCTCTGCGATCTTGCCCAGGTTTAGCAGAGATTTGGCCACCAGTTCATCATAGTTCTCGTATTCTTCGTTGTTGTTGTTGTCCTTCTCCATGGAGGGGCTTGATCTGCTGGGACTGCAATTCATATGGTCACTCTCTGTGAAAGACAAGCGAATGTTTTCATACTACAGTAGCAGTTAAACTGAGAGCCTAAAGCTTGTTGGATAATTTTGAAAACAAGTTTTTTTTTTTTTTTGGACTGTGAAATCTGAGGTATTTAAAAACAATAACGTTTGTATCCAGATTAATGTAGACCTGGCCTTAGAACTTGATGGGGACAACCCCCCATTAGATTAGAAATGGCCAAATTGTCCCCCTAAATTTTATAATCTAAAATTAAGATAATAAAAACCCAAATTACAATCTATATTTCATGCCTAAATTATGTAGGCCTATTTGATAAGTAGCCCTACAGTAAGAGGTAAGTGTTGACCAATACATCTATGCATATTCAAATTATGTTCTACTTTGCATAATGTAAATATTGATAATGATTGAACATGTAGGAATGATCATGTACAACCAGCCTGACATTTTTAAAATGGTCTTGCAATAATGACCAGCTCATGGCTGTGGTGATTGTAAAAATGAGCTTGTTTGCTAGGTTATATAGATTCAACATCTGCAATGTTGTCAAGGACAATATTGATAATCAATATGACAAAAATTTAATGCAAAAAAAAGTGGCGATAAAAGATCTAATTATTATAATCCATATTCATTCCATGTAATGATTTTCTCAATATTTATGAGTGCAACTCTTATATTAGAATCAAATCATTAGCTTAGCTACATGCTAACAGCAGAAGATAAGTCAAGTGTGCAATGCAGGATTAATGAAGCTGTGCCATGAAGAGCAAAATCAGTAACTTATAAGGTTGTAATTTAATTAACAAGCTGTCGACAACTGTTCATGTAGTCAGCTCACTAGGTTTTGAGACAAAGCCAATATCTTAGGTAAGAAAACAGCACAGGATACAGGGTTAATGCCAATACACGTGGGCGTTTGATTGTTAATTAGACTAGAAGGCTCTGTCAGGTCTGATTGGAGAATGAGTGGGGGGAGTGTGTGTGTGTGTGTGTCTGAGACACATCTCACGCCTACTCCCTTATTTAGCAGACATTCACAGACCACCAGAACTGAGCCAGCCAGCTCAGACAAATACTGAAACCATTTGTAGGCAACAAGAATAGCATCTTGTGTAGCTACTAAGTTAAGTTGGCTTTAAGAAACAACCTGTGGCCATTAATTATGATAGATAGATGGATGGATGGATGGATGGATGGATGGATGGATGGATGGATGGATGGATGGATGGATGGATGGATGGATGGATGGATGGATGGATGGATGGATGGATGGATGGATGGATGGATGGATGGATGGATGGATGGATGGATGGATGGATGGATGGATGGATGGATGGATGGATGGATGGATGGATGGATGGATGGATGGATGGATGGATGGATGGATGGATGGATGGATGGATGGATGGATGGATGGATAGATAGATAGATAGATAGATAGATAGATAGATAGATAGATAGATAGATAGATAGATAGATAGATAGATAGATAGATAGATAGATAGATCGATAGATAAATAGTCAAATCAATATTTTGCATTTTTGCATATTTATTGATCAAATTTAATGATGGATAGATTTACATTGGCTGTAATACGAATACTGTCCTATAGAGGGGGCACAGGATAAGAAATCTTTAAAGTTCTCTTTTACATCCTGTGTCCAAAATGACAAAGAAATGCATACTCAGAGAGCGCTCCACAAGTTATGTTTGTTTACATCGAGTGAATGCAAGTTTATGGTACAGGTAAGTTAATTGTTGTTCTAAATCAATGTCCTCCCAGACAGCAAACTGACATTGAATCAACGTGGAAAACGACGTCTCTCATGACATTGAAACAACGTTGATTTTGCTCATCGAATTAACGTTGAACCAACGTCAGACGCGGCATTCTTCAAAGCTAAATGAAAATCGAAAATTGGTTTGCTTTCATAACGTTGAAACAACGCGTTGATTTCAAGTTGATTTTCCGTTAGTTTTGAAAGAACGACGCGTCTGACGTTGGTTCAACGTTAATTCGATGAGCAAAACAATGTCAGATCAACGTTGTTTCTATGTCATATTTCCACGTTGATTCAATGTCAGTTTGCTATCTGGGCTGCAACATAGTCACACAGACAGAGAGTAGTGCACACATTACGTGGACTCAGAAACATTCAGCTAACAGCGTTTTTCTGTGATTTAAACTGGAAAGTGCCATCACATAGCCTATTCCTTTCTGTTTTTGAAGTAACTAAAACCCACAGCGGCACCATTAGAGAGACGCTGCACCGATAGGACTAATTCACTCATGCAATCTCTCTCTCATTAATCATTCAAATAAATGCAGTCTTAAATGTGCTATCTGTATCTGATTTAGACCGAACAGAAGACTGTGAGGAAATAAAGACCCATAGACAAAATAACTGATAAAAGTTTGCTGTCATGACAGAGCGGTAGCATTGTGGGCAACATACTGTCAAAAGCCGTAGCCGTGCACAAGGCCAGTTCGAGTTCGAGTCTCGACTTGCTGTCTTGACTCGGTTCAGGTTTCTCAGACCAACATCAACATTTGTTCACAAACTTTAGCCTCTAGTTGCAAATAGTGGCATGTTGAAAAGCATTCCCATCTCTTGTGTTGTTATTAGTGACATCATCAGCGATTAGTCGACTTTAATCACAACAGTCGACTTAAAAACTCGATCAACCCCTTGCATCATGCTATGATTAGTAGAAATAAATGCTCTCTGCAAGACTGTAACCTTACACAGTACGAGTCACTGTAAAACCAATAGTATTTGTTGTTCAAATTAAATTATGGAAAAATATAAATTGTCCGAAAAGTCCCCCTGTAGTGAATAATTGTATCCCTTAAAACTTAACTTTGATTTTTGATTTATTACGTATTTAAACGTTTTTTCCTTAAACAATTCTGCCATAAATTAGCTTGAATGTAACTCGACACCCTTGCCTCATTTAGTATATGCGGTTCTATGAATATGCAAATGAGCCCCGCCTCCACTCACTCACTCAGCTCAGAGATCGTCTCGTTGACGATCACACTTTGATCTGGGGTGCGTTTCCCGTACAACTATGTAGTTCGCTGCTTCACTACCATCAGTACGAAGCATCGTTGGAGAAATCCGAAACCCATTGTCGCGAAGTTTCGTTCAACCACGTTGGTTTCGCACGTGGTGGAGTAATAACTACTTTAACCTGTTAACTGTCACCCCCCCCCCCTTTTTTGAATAGACATGAAAATGCACATTTCGAACTTAAATGGTTGTAATTCAAGAATGCTTTGGAATATAGACATATGATTGGTCTTGTTTTAAAGAAGACATTTGGCAGATTTTTGTACAAGTGAAATAAATTAAGAAAGTGAAACAGAAAAAAAGTTATAGAAGTTTGAGTTTATGGAAATGTACAATGTAAAAATATTAATTATTCATATTTTACATAAAATATATATTTCCAAAACCCGGGCTACTCTAAAATGGCAGAAAGATCAAAGCCAAAAATCTGAACAAGTTGTGTTTCAAATTTTAGGTTGATATCTCAAAAAATGAGCTTTCAGTAAGATTTTGTTTGAGCGCAGTACCAAACTTTTTCACTAGGGCACAATCAGACTCCATTACTGCCCATATAAGGGCGCCTGCATTTCCATTCGTGTTTTGAGTGATATGAACCATTATTTTCACAATTTTCTTACAATTTCTGAAGTAGAGATCCTATTCAGAAGTAGCATGGGAAGTTTGGCAGATTTTGATATGAATTGAACCTCTAAGAAACACATACAAAGAACACGCATGTAAGTCATAGCTAGCTGCAACATCACACAAATGGTGAATTTATTATTTTTTTCTTGATATTTCAAACTTTTCAGACCTTTTTTTCCAAAATAATTGAATGGATTCTATCTTTTGAACTTTTGGCATGAAAACAAACTGAGGTTTCTACCATTTTTTCATGATTTTTCATGTTTACTGCTATTTTAAAATAAAGGTCTGAACACGCCTTATGAGTATGAAAATATTCTTGTTTTATATTGATAAATTATGGCTCCTCTGTAATATATTTTGAAAATCAGTCACCAAATATGGAAACTAGAGATTGTAAGCTTTCAAATGATATATAGTTTGTCAATATTATTTAAGGTATTTACTAAGATATTATTGTTTTAAAAATATAGTGGCAAACGTCCCACCTGTGGGACGGTGACAGTTAAGTGAAACTGTTTGAGATCCAATTAATGCTAGATTTTTATATATAAATTACAGACATGCCATCTGAGGACTATTTCAAATTGTTCTGAGTTATTTTGCTTTATTACCAAACTCAATATTTGGCTCGTTCTTACATAGTAGAGCACGTTCGCACATGCGCACTCTTCAAACGAGGTATTTTAACTCTTTTGACAAACTAAAAGATGTAAATTACATTTATATATTCTAATTAAAAGGCACCTTTGTACTGAATGTCAGCTTGCTTATTTTGCTCACGATAAGGATTTATTACGTCCAAATGCGATACAATATAGAAACTATGGCTGTAACCACAGGTCGAGAGCTGTCGTTCAAACCACACAACTTTGCGATGCTGTTTGCGAATGCTGTTTCGTTGGAACGACTGTTTCGGGAAACACCGACTCGTTGAACTATGCTGATAACGACGGAACTTGCGACCATAGTTGTCTAACGATGCTTTCGAGAAATGCACCCCTGATTGGTTACAAGGTAGTTCAGAAACACCAGCGATTTCAAACCGTGATTTTGAGACTGTCTTTGGTTCAGTGCAGTTTAAGGAGAAAATACTCAGCGATGCTGTCGACTTATCAATTTGCACATGGTTTGTCTTAATTAAAGCATATTAAAACAAACACCACATAGACATATGAACAACATTAAAAACTTTAAAAGGGAAGTTTTGACACAATCTGAATGTTGCTCATATTTGAGGGCATTGGCCCTGCCAGAGCGCTGCACTTCAAATCTCCCCTTCATTGGGAACTGAGCAGCTCTGTTTTGAGAGGGCTGTTTTTAGCCTGATACTGAGACCGTATTGAAGGTCATCGCAAAATCATCCAACTGCACCTCAAATTACCGTGACCTTCTTCTAAAGATGCCTAACTGCCAAATCACCTCCTCTACCCCTCTGGAGGCTGAAATACTCACTTCACATTCGGGTCTGGTTGTGTTTCTAAACCCCAAAATAACGCATTCTATTGCCAGATTAACCCTATAAAGCCTATTGTATTAGATTTGATACACGCCTCCAAAATAATCGATGCTTTACAGGGTTAAAACTGGGAGCCAAATTACTGCATAATCTTTCCACCGATTTATTTGTGCCCTCACCTATTTCTTGAATTTGCTCCTCATCTTCCTCTATCTCATCCTCTTCTTCATCATCTTCCCCCTCTCTTTCTACTCCTTCTTCCTCTTCCTCCTCCACCACTTCCTCTTCTTCCTGCTCCACCTCTTCCTCGTCTCCATTGATCACTTCTACCTCTTCCTGATCAAATTGTTCCTCGTTGTCTGTGTATTCCTCATCGGCTTCCTCTTCTTCTTCCCTTTCCTCTTCCTCCTCCTCTTCCTCTTTTTCATCCATTTCCTCCTCCATTTTGTGTGTCCTGTAGCATTTCTCCATTGACTGCTGGTCTACGACGGTTAGAAAGACCTTCCTCTTGGCCGAGGGCTCCAGGGCGTGAGTCTCCAGGGGTTTTCTCTTCTTGGCGACGGGACAGCCATACACACTGGACATGGAGAGATAAGAAAAACGCAATTAGCAAGCTGGCGTGTGAATTGCTGGACTTTCATACACTTAAGACCAAGGTACATAATTTACGGCACACGGGCCGGGCTGAAGGAGTTTTGAATTGGGACAAATATAGCAGGCTGTATGCCAAATCATTTAGGGGTTACACAAGTGGAACAATCAATAGACCTTAGTCAGGGTGCCAAATTCAATTTGCAATGAATGACAACAAAACCGTGAGAGAGTATATTTAAAGTGCCCACATTGTCAGTAGCGGCCTTCTCAGAACAAAAAAGTGGTCACTGGGGGGGGACCTTTTCAAAAGGTACATGTTTGTTCCTTTTAAGCCTAGTTCACACTACATGATTTTAAAATGTCGGGCTGAACTGTGCAGTTCACACTATGCTCTCAGTGAAATCATGAGTGTTCAAGTTGTTTAGCTGTTCACACCACACAACACAACGTGATTGATCCACAACAGGAGGTAACTCACTACACGAGTTAACAACGCACTACATAGAGATACAACCACGATCGGATGATAAGAGCATATCATTTGTGACTCAATGAGAGCCGTTTCAGTACTATAGTACGGTCTAAATCCTGAAAATAATCAAACAAATAACGAGTTGACAACAACACGATTCTATCTGGTCTAGAAACCATGTTTTGTCACGAAAAACCACACAATAAAACGAACCAGAAATGACGCGAAACTGCAGAGAAGAACACAACACGCGAATATGGACGTCAGACAGAAACTAGTGCTGCACACTGTTTGCTCGACGATCTGCTCTGAGAAAAAAAAAATGCAAAAAAGAAAACAAAAAGTAAGATTTACCTGGTGTCCTCAACCCATGCGTTGCTATGATTGGCTGTACTCATGACATCACTGAGATTGAGTCGCGCGACTGCTCGAGATATCTAGCATGCTAGATATTTTTCTGAGCTCGGTGACCTGTCTGCGAGGCGTCTGCGAGCTGTCTTTGATGCGTTGTTGGCTCTTTCACACTAACGGATTGGCGAGCGTTAATCGTCCGCTAATCGCCCGCGATTTGCACACGATAACACCCTGACTTGTTGGCGACTCAACGATTTGCAAATCGGGCTTAAAATCACGTAGTGTGAACTAGGCTTTAGCTATGACTGTTCAATATGTTGTCATCCTAGGGCGTCATATAGTGACGCTTTTGAAATTTCGTCTAAATCCAACCCACATGGCACTCTTTAGCGTCAATATAACACGCACAGAGCTTTGTTCGGTTATGGGTAGGTTTAGGTGTGGGGTAGGGTTAGGGTTAGACCACTAGGAGGCGTCTTCTGGCCCATATCCGTCTCATATTGACGCTAAAGGGTGCCATGTGCGTTGGATGTAGACAAAATGTCAAAAGCGCCAGTATATGACGCCTTGGGATGAGAACGGGCTGGAATATTGTACCTTTTTTTCCGAGAGTGTATGTTTCACCCGTTTCAACTAGCCTCTCTTAAAATAGAGCCACATCACACCACACACACACACACCTGGGTCTGAACATAACAGGGGCTTGGGGCAAAAATACCCCCAAAATACAAGATATGGTGCAAAAAAATATCTCTGTAGAAGTTGTTGTTTTGAATATTTATAATCAATACCACATGAGCAAGAGTGCTGATTTCTCCAATATCAGCGGCACATTTGCTATTTGTAAAATTAGGTGACTAACATTTTAGACACTATCCCCTGAGTTCACAGACTTTTAAGTTTTAACTGAAAGCAACTTGGAAATCTTAAAATAAAAAGAAAAATCTTAAAATATGTCATTGCCATTGTTTTGTCTCAAGATGCACAAGTCAAGTCAAGTCAGATTTATTTATATAGTGCTTTTTAAAAATACTGATTGTATCAAAGCAGCTTCACAGTGATAACATGAAAATAATACAACACAGATCAATAATATTCTTGAATATTAAATGTCCCCAACTAAGCAAGCCAAAAGCAAGGCAACAGTGGCAAGGAACCAAACTCCATCAGGGACTGGATGGAGAAAAAAACCTTGGGAGAACCCAGACTCAGTCGGGGGCCAGTTCTCCTCTGGCCAACGAAGTAACAGTGATTACAAAACAAATTGGATCGAAACATAAAGAGTATTTGTCCATTTCCATCTACAGTATTTGGAAGTCTAAGTAATCACGCCGGTTTGGAGACGAGCACACCAGTGATGTTTTTTTCTAAGGCACGTTTATAAAAGCTACTAAAGTCCTAACTGAACTAATGCCTAAATCTGGCTCAATCTAAGCCCTGTTTGTGAAACTAGCCCAAAATTGTCCATATTGGCTGTTTTTGCTCTATTTTGCCAGTGAAAATAGTTCCAAACAGTGGAGCCATTGTCTCAGTCAGAGCAACAGTTTCAGTTTCGTTACTGAAGGAATCCGCGCTTTTGAACGACTCTGTCTGTTCGACTCAAAGACCTACTCATAAAGACAGTAGACACTTGCGATGTCCCTGAATGAATGAATCAGCCGATTTAAAGGAATCGTTTGACTAAATGATTCAATGAGTCACTTGTTAAGACGACAATTTGCCACCATCTTCTGGCAGTTATAGTATCATTTCATTTTAGCTCAGGGGCTGAGAGAGTGACGAAGATTGGATGCTGTTTTTACTCTCCATCATGATTGTAACAATATAGTTCTGGTATAAGAGATAGAACGGATTTATAAATAGACTATTAAGAGTGAAATATGATAAAACAAGGGATTCCCCCTAATATTCGACTGAACAGGAGTCGAAGAGAACATTAGTCGACGAGAAGAGGCTTGTTTGACCAAAATTCTATTAGTCGGTAATCTTTTTTTTTTTAAACGTCTGTTATTTGTGGTTTTTACAGTAAGTCAGACAGGAAATCCAATCATCCATCAACCTTAAATATGCTTATCAATTGAAACATACACTCACCTAAAGGATTATTAGGAACACCATACTATACTTCGCCTTCAGAACTGCCTTAATTCTACGTGGAATTGTGCTGATAGCATTCTTTAGAAATGTTGGCCCATATCGATAGGATAGCATCTTGCAGTTGATGGAGATTTGTGGGATGCACATCCAGGGCACGGAGCTCCCGTTCCACCACATCCCAAAGATGCTCTATTGGGTTGAGATCTGGTGACTGTGGGGGCCATTTTAGTACAGTCAACTCATTGTCATGTTCAAGAAACCAATTTGAAATGATTGGAGCTTTGTGACATGGTGCATTACCTGCTGGAAGTAGCCATCAGAGGATGGGGACATGGTGGCCATAAAGGAATGGACATGGTCAGAAACAATGCTCAGGTAGGCCGTGGCATTTAAACGATGCCCAATTGGCACTAAGGGGCCTAAAGTGTGCCAAGAATACATCCCCCACACCATTACACCACCACCACCAGCCTGCACAGTGGGAACAAGGCATGATGGATCCATGTTCTCATTCTGTTTACGCCAAACTCTGACTCTACCATCTGAATGACTCAACAGAAATCAACTTCAACTGTCCAGTTTTGGTGAGCTCTTGCAAATTGTATTCTCTTTTTCCTATTTGTAGAGGAGATGAGTGGTACCCAGTGGGGTCTTCTGCTGTTGTAGCCCATCCGCCTCAAGGTTGTGTGTGTTGTGGCTTCACAAATGCTTTGCTGCATACCTCGGTTGTAACGAGTGCTTATTTCAGTCAAAGTTGCTCTTCTATCAGCTTGAATCAGTCGGCCCATTCTCCTCTGACCTCTCGCATCAACAAGGCATTTTCTCCCACAGGACTGCCGCATACTGGATGTTTTTCCCTTTTCACACCATTCTTTGTAAACCCTAGAAATGGTTGTGCGTGAAAATCCCAGTAACTGAGCGGATTGTGAAACACTCAGTTATAAGTAACTTCACCTCTCATTCTAACATTTACCTAGATAATTGTGCTTTATTATTAGGTGCATATTCTAGTGTTTGTGTGGAATGTTAAAGCTAAAGTATTAACGCTGAATGATATGGAGCGCGATTCTTTAACAGCGGAAACAACTTTTTCTGTATTTTTTTTGTCATACTTGCCGATAAGAGTAAGACTTCGATCGAAACTGTAAATGTCTAAATTTATTTGTGTAAACTCCCAATAATAACAAAATGTTGTTCTTTTGTAAAATAAAGAAAACCAAAAGAATGTGGGTTCTCGGTCTTCGTGAACTGGAACACGTCACAAAAGTGAACCGAAACTTAGCATATATGCTACTTGTCTCGCAGATATAAGATATATGAGGCGTCATAGTATTAAATCTATGGTATCTATGGTGTCAGTATTGAAAGTCCAAACAATGTTTTTTTGCCCTCGCAGCAAAAAAAAAAAAAAAAGCAACAACTAAAGTATAACATTGCAAATGGGTATGTGTTTGGAAATTGGTAATGTAGTAGATAATAATAGCAGAACTACAGTTGAGGCGTTTCACGCAGGTGTTTTCTTTAGGAGGAATTAGTTATAATTAGAAATAATGTTGCGGATTGTTTAAATGCACATGTCTTATTTTACTCCAATAATCTTGTTTTATTCACACCACATTTTTACACTGTTAGTCTTTTTATATATTTTGTTTTAAAGTAAATATTAAATTTAAATATGCTAACTGGGCCCATAAATGATCATTTTAACATGTTTTCCCCATGTTTCATAAAGTAAAGCTCTTTTATATATTTATGGCATTTAATTTGAATGTAATAAGCAGTAATTCAATTCATGATATGACATCAAAATAATACTGAACAATAATCCAATATTTGAATGACCAACCATACAACGAATAAGCTTTTTTCGTTCCTGTCCTGTTAGAATTGAATGTGTTAAATCACTAATGCCCTGGTAACTTTAGCAGTCACGTGCACACACGCGCACACACACACACCTTGCAGCTGTGAGATTAAGAGGTGATTAATTGCATTTTCTACCTTCAGCAAATATATATCTTCTAGATCCTCGCAGCAGGATCAGCTGATGTGATCCTCCA